CCTGAATTGTTTTTGTTTTTCATTTATTTTCCTTTATACTGAAAAACAAGATAATTAGGAGATAAGTTGAATGTTTTAGTGAAGAATAACACTTTTGGTAGTTAAACAGAACATCTTCGTATATATCTATACATCAGACCAAAAAGAGGGACAACTAAGGAGGAAAGAGGGGCAGAGGGATTTGTTTCCAAATCAGGGACAGACCCCTAAATGAGGGACAGTTTAGAGCAGGGGTGCCCACAAGGTCGATCGCGATCTACCAGTCGATACATGAAGTTAAAATATACATTGGCTCCCAGTCTGACAAAACCTATTCATTCAATGCATGCCTTCCTTTGCTACTCATACATGGTTTAGCTTTGGAGAGTATTACTTTATCACTGAAAGTAGAATGTAGAACCCCAGATAAAACTATTTTAGCCTTGGAGAGAATGGGGCGAACTTCTGTTTTTTATGTCTTCCTGCTTGTGTTGCCATTGGAGAGATGTACCCTCTCCACCTGTTGTAGTTACGAGTTTGGAGAAATCCCACCATTGACAGCCTTTACATGAAGGGAATGTGGGGAAAGATCTCCCAACAGGAAAACCTGTCCCGTTGTCAGCTGCCAAAGGTGCAATTTCCCCTTAGTTTCTGACTCTCTTCCTTTCTAACTTTGTTCAAAATTTTAAGTAAAAACTCCAGTATTGTTGAAAGCAAAATCCCTACAGGTTAATGATATAAATTGTAAGCATGCTGAGTCTCACTGGGCTCCTCTGTGTCTGCATGACCTCCTGCATCTAGGTCTGTTTATGGCCCTGCTGTGCTCTTCCATATAGAACACCTGTCATAACCCAGTTTTACTCTCACATGGCATGTCAGCTCACTTGTGACAGTAATAAAGTTTTTTAGGAAAAAATAAAATAGATATTAAAAAATAATCCACAAATGTGTGTATGCAACATACTTTATACACAAACAGTTAGGACACATACATAAACAGCATTCACACTGCTCATACTAGGTATTCCCACACTAGCCAGAGATAGAAGAATACTTTAAGGGATATCATTTTAATGTACCTCTCAATTGATGAGCTGTAAAAGGTTTTTAATGCATTACTTATTTACAGTCTTGTGTATCTTCATTTTTTACCACTTTGCCAGCACACATGATTTTGTGCCTAGAAATATCTCTTATTTATGGAGTAAACATAGTTTCATCTTTATTATTTTATTAAAATTTTGGAAATTATATCATGTGGTTGTGTGCACTAAAAATTTAAGTGCATTTTTCTAAAGAAACTTTGGCCTAGATCAACATAGGTGCAAGAATTGTGGACATAGAAAAATAACATTATCAATTCTATAAGCTCCTTCCTTAAAGAAAATGCATGGTTCGTCTGTCTTTATTAAAGGAGTGTAAACTATATTCTTCCCAATATATGACACTGATCAGCTCCCTGCTGCAGACTCTCTGCTCAGACAGACTGATCACTGGCAGAGGGGAATTGAGGAAATGCTTCCTCCTGCCTGCAGCAGGCTGATGGCATCATCTCAGCCTAGGCACGTCACTAAACATCGAGGCACTATAGCACTACACGACAACCAGACTCTACTGCAGTGCAATTAACATACTGAGCAAAAGGAGTGAGGAGAAGGATGATGTAAGTGTAATGGTGCTCTTTAATTTAAAAAGGTTAGGGGTACGTTCCTGATTAAGTTGTACTCCAAGTTGAGAACATCTGGTGATCATTTTTGGCAGCGGTGTCTGCATTACAAAGCGGGCTGCATAAAATTACAAATCCTACAGCCCATAAAATAGTTCTCATATAGTTATTTCAACTGTACAATTAGCTACTTGTCTGGAGTTAATTTTTAATCTACTCTTGTAACATGCACAGATCAGAAATTTACAAAACTTTGGCAACCAAGTTAAAGCTGAACTCCAGGTACAACTATGTTATTTGAAATATATTCCTCAAAAGCCACAAAGGATATGAATCTACTTTGTGCACACCAAATGCCTTTGCAAACCCAAATATTACTTTGGAAAAGTAGTGGTGACATCATCACTGTGCTGCACATAGCCTGTGCAGAGAGCAGAGCTGCAGGAGGGGCCCAGCAGGCTCCACCCACTACAGGCTGCCTGCAGAAAACTACAGGAGGGGCAGATACAAGACCAGTCACCCTGCACAAGGAGAGAGAGCAGAGGTCACTGTTCTGTATAACAAAACCTTCCTGCACAACAGCAAATATTAATGCTCATATCTGAACGAAAGACACAGAGCACACCAAGGTTACACATACTGTAGAACCAGCACATGATGATCTTCCAAAGAAATTCAAACTTTATTCCACATGCATCTGTACAAAGAACCGCTCATGCGTTTCTGCCTTACTCGGCCTTAGTCATAGCTTTCACTAAGGTTGAGTAAGACAGAAACGCGTAAGGGGTGGTTCTTTGTACAGATGCATGTGGAATAAAATGTGAATTTCTTTGGAAGATCATCGTGTGCTGGTTCTACTGTTTTTGAGCCTATCACTCCAGAAGAGTGTCATCTGTGCACCGAGTGTGGATTGCGGGGGCGCATGATAGGGGTGAGCTGTGCACTCTGTGTTCTAAGAATACACATACCTCTGGTATTTACTTATTCCGGAGTTGAGCTTTAAAAGAATTGACCTCTTTTACTGAGAATAGGCCTTAGAATCAATTTTAATCTGCTCTTTGCCCAGATTTCTCCATTCCAGTGATCACAGCAGTACTGAGGCATTTAGAAAACTGATGTGTGTCTTGCAGTTGGCAGCCTGTCTACTCGTGTTATTCAGCAAATGGAGGAGGGACACTTGACAAGTTTGTCACAATGTGTGAGAATAAATAAAATAACTGTAAACTAAAGTCTTGAAGGAGTCGGGTTTTCACCAGCATACAGGGCCTTATTTAGGAAATCTATAACAAGAGCAGTTGTGAAACTGTTGTTTATCACCATCCTTCAGTGTTTCCTGTTTCATCTGAAAGATGCAGTAAGGATGTTTGATATCGGCAAATACTCTTCTTAGGCTTTGTTTTATGTAAATTAGCTTCAGGGCTTGAGGCAAGATAACTGCTATATTAGACACTCCTGTCTGCTACAATTCATATATCCAAGTGGTTGTTGCATTCATAAGAATCCTTTTTTTTAACTGTTGAAAGAAATTGTAAAGTCCCAGCATAACATCATCCCTCAACACCTATCCCTGTTATAACATCAGCATTGTAATAGGAATACATACTAGACTTGTGTTTAATAATGCAATCAAAGCTTTCCTGAAAAATCTCCTTTTATATAGTGAGTGCTGCCTTACGTCTGCCCATCACTTTAATAAATTTCCTGGATCTCCAGGGTGCTTTGCATCGTTTTTCCTGCTGCTTGATATGATGCACTCTTGATTTCTCAAGACTACATATCCCATGATGCATTGCTTCCAGCAAGCAATGATAATGTTACATTATTCAGACGTTGAGTAGTAGTTAAGACAGCAAGCTTAGTTAGAATGGGGACACAAGGTAGTGCATGGTCACAGGTTTGAGTGAAATGGTGTCAGTACATCGAGGAAGTCCATCCTATGGGCCTTGCAGCACTTTGTAGGAGAAAATGGCACCAATATCTGCTTCCTTTATGAGTCAATGTGACACTTTCCCTTCTTCCTCACAATGCAGCACTCCCTTAGTCACTTCCTTAGGTCAGCGCTGTGTAATATTCAGCTTGCGGTCTGGCAGTGAATAAGGGCAGTAGAGAAAGAACAGTAAACACATGTTGCTTATAGCCAACACTACAAACCAAATTTCCAGTGCCACAGGCTGACAGTCATATGATTTTGACCAGTCCACAACTAATACACTCTTCACTGACAACCGCAGCTGCCCGAATCCAATCGGGAAGCCTTCAACATATGCAAAAAAGAAAAAACACAAGGACAGCATCTTGTCTTTGTGAAGTACATTTTATTAATTAAATGATAAAGTAAAATGTTACTCACAAAGCCCATAGGATCCTCATCTAAGAGGTTTTTCATCCAAAGATGATACAGCACCTACATAAGCTACTGTCTGGTTATTACACAGCTGGATCAGCATGCTGATAGTTCTATTGAACTAACACATTTCCTGGGGCGTACTCTTTTTATCACTGGTTTTTTTTTTGTCTCAGCATTTTCCACTGAGACCTTCTGTTCAGTTTAATAGTGTGAGAATAGTGTTAAGAGTTGGGGTAAGGTATACTATTAGAAATAGGTTAGAGATCAGGTGTATTTAGGGACACATATCAGCTTCAGCTTGTCTTTGACAAGCATTTTTACGTTATTGATGTTCTGTATATGTTTGCTGTGCTTGTGAAGAACATCCACCAGTGACCTTAGCTTTGAGAACTTTGCACAGTTGAGAAAAAACTCCTTTCAATGCCTGAGGCTCATTTTCATAATATTAGGGATTTTCACTAGGTAATTAGAGAGTGTTTTTTTGCAATGGCTTTATGTTGTGAAAGGTTCCTTTTCTTTAAGGCTTGTTCACACTGAAAGCGTGTGTGTTCCAGAGCAGTAGCTGCTGGAACGCACCGCGATCGCTGAGAAACTCCCCCCGCGTTTTGGGGTGGGAGGGGGGCGTGGTGGTGCATTGTGTTCAATGGCACCGCTTCCACGCCCCCCGCCCGCAGTGCGATCGGACGTGGGGCAAAACTTTGCCAGCGTTCCGTTCCACTGCAAACGCAAAAAATAGGGCTTGCCAAAACGCGGGGGGAAGTTTCTCATCGATCACGGTGCGTTTCAGCAGCTACTGCTCTGGAGCGCACACGCTTTCGGTGTGAACAAGGCCTTAGGCTATTTCCTAAATTCACAGCTTCATTCTTGTATGGCATGTCCACCTTAAGATGGAAATACAACTTCTTTCTCAATAGCAATGTTTTTTTGTCTCAACCGTGTGTGTTACAGTTTGTCATATGCTGATTTTGCTGAAATCGCCACTGAAAAGTGTTCTTCCACTCTTTCTAGGGGAAACGCTACAAAAATTCTCTGGACAATGTGGGGACTCCTGATTCTAGCCGTGGCATCCGCAACGAGAAGAAAGCTTTAAAGTAAGTATGAGTTCGTTCTGGAGGAATTGTAAAATGGTGCCTTTAAAATCCAAAGGAAACCTTAACATGAAACCAGAAACATTGACTGCTCTCTAGCATGAACGACTGCCCAGACATAGGCTGTAGACCAAACCCAAATGTCTTTCCCTCTTGTGGTAAAGTAGCGCCCTCCCTCAATCCTCAGAGTAACCATGTCACATTAAGGCAAGCTTGAATAATAACAATTCATATGAGATATTTTAGCTGCATAGCATGACATTTTCCCCATGTCTCATAACAATACATCCGAACAACCTACCAGCCTAATGGGAAAAGATGAACTCAGCTATCGATAAAATGTTCCTTTTGTTCAACTTCAACACACACTTCAGTAACATATAAACTCCATTGTGGAACACTTACGAGGTGTGCTTTTTAGTCTGAATAAAATGACAAATCCCATGCAAACTCACTGAGCATGTCTTGCTTTTTTGGAAAATGCAGCTAGAGAAGAGGACCGGGAACTAATTTTTATTGTGTGAAACCTATGTGGAGCTTTCTAAATTCTTCAGCGCTTTCCTTTTCTTCTTGCATTGTCGCTGTTCTTCTCCGCCCCTCTCAACAGGTGTTTCTTGTCTCTCCTATTAAATGAAAATTTGACTGAAATCGATCACGAAAAAAGGCTTTTTGTCTCAGCATTTTCCACTGAGACCTTTTGTTTCTTCCCTTGTGAACGCAACATAAACGTCTTGTTATCTTTCCCCACGCTGAGTACAGTACAAAGTATTTAATCAGCTTTTGTCTAATCTTGGCTGATTCCACTTTTCCCGGCTATACACATATGGATGTTTATATTTCGCACATAATGGGTTTTGATTAAATTATATTAAAATGCTCTATAACATTATACTGGAAGAAATGTAAATTTGCTTCCATCTGCCACATCATTCTCAGGACCTTTTGTTCCACTGCTTGCAGAAGTACGTTTTATTATTAAAGGCATACTAACCAGACAATTATGCATAACTCAGAGACAGGCCTTCTCCTACCTAGTGTGCCTTAGAGCAACATTACCTGAGGTTCTTACCTTGCCTCATGGACGTGTTCTCCTGTTAGCATAGACATATTACTAAAAAACTGATACAGCTGTAAAAAAATACACTTATTCTTAGCACAGGGTGGAGCATTGAAAGAGCTGAATCAGGCAAGCATAATATGAACATTTCTGAATTCAGAGTTCAAGGCTGTTTATTTTTTTATTTTTAACAGTTCCAAATGCAAAATATGGATTCTTTCCATTAAGGTCATGTCCTGCTGAGATATAACTTTTATGCTTTTCTTTTTGACCATGTCCTCAGGTTACTACATTGCAATTATCATCACACCTCATGAAAATAGATAGCAGGGTTATGGGGAAGAAAAAGTGCCTCCTGCCTTAAATTGACACTAAACTCAGGAGTTAAATCTTGCAAATGCAATCAGGTACCTTAACTATTAACAATACTGAACCTTATTTGTGCATCGCTTGACTATAGAACCTCAAATCAACTCTAAACTTGTGCTGACATCGTCCATTCTTTTGTTTGGCTACTTTTGTTCCCCATTGTCCCTGTGTGTGTTGTAAAGTAGCCACCGCTCCAAGCTCACTCCCGTGATGGACTACAATCTCACTACAAATTGGTAAACTAATTGTGAGATTGTAGTCCATCACGGTAGTGAGCTTGGAGTGGCTACTTTACAACACGTTTAGGGACCATGGGGAACAAAAGCATCCACCCTCCAGAAGGAAGGACAGTGTCAGCACCAATTCAGCACCAACCCTGTTATTGAATTGTACAGCTGGGCCTGTTAAAGGAAGTGGAAAAATAACAGATCTACTTACAGAATTGACAGATAATAAAATTATGTTATAGGGGGAAAGTACAAACATTGTCCCACTGTGGATAGAGAGGTAGATAGATAGATAGATAGATGGATAGATAGATAGATAGATAGATAGATAGATAGATAGATAGAAGGCATCAGGGAAATGGGAAAAACATTCTGCACGTCTCTGTGCTGACTGAGTAGGAAACAAAGGAGGTGCCCAACACCATTTGGATATTATAGATATGCCATAGTGCCGTCAATGTGATTGCTGCACAGTTGTACATGGCACCCTCCTTAGCCACATATTTTGTAAATGGGCCCTGGAATACCAACAGTCTCTTGTGCAGCTGCACGCCTACATACTATGACTACATTTTCAATATGTTGTGCAATAACTTCAATTTAAATTTGGATAAATTGTATGATTTGGGGTTCCACATACCCTCATAGTAGATTCATGAGCACAAACTCGTGTTAGATTGCAGCTTCATTCGGTGGCAAATTTTGAAAATGCACAGTCTATGCTTAGCCAAAAACCTTTAAGGATATTAGAAAAAAAGAGAAGACATTTAGGGATAAAACCTTTACTATTTATACTACACTGATACATTAGTAACACGAAAAGTAAAAACATTAGTTCTTATGAAGTCTTGAAGGGAAATAGTGTATTTTCAGTAGTGCCTTAAAGTATCTTTTTAATATGACTTTCACATTTGACATGCTTTCTCTTTTCTTTGTTGTGTCTTTTCTGTGCAGATTTGTAAATTAGCTTCTGGAAGCAGGGTAGATTGCCCACTACAATGACTCTGCTCAACCTCCTAACCTGTGCTGGGATAAGATATTGGCCACATAGAGATTGCATTGTTTTTAATCAGTCATCTGACTCAGACGCTCAATGTTAGAGGAGGAGCGTAAACACAACCATTGTGTAGTACTTCAAAGCAGGCAACAGAGCTTGCATATGCATGCAATGAGCAAATATGGCTGCTTCCATCTGCTTAATAACTTTACATTTGCCATAGAAAAAGGGCTTTTCTTGTGCCAGAACTTGACCAGTACATCTGTGCCCTTAGAAAAACTGTATGGGGCTATGGATGTTGCTCCTGTTCTGCCTCATAGTTGCCAAGTGCCCCGGATCCTGCTGAACATTCCCACAATTTTTCTCACTGTCCTGCAGAATGTAGGATCCTAAACACTTTGCTGCTAGCTGGCTGTTGCCATTCTGCTCCTGTTTTTGCCATTTACACAAGAATGGAAGGCTACTTCAGTCTCCTCCTCAGCTACGCCCCCATTCGTGTGTTGCAATGAATATTCTGAGTCTGCACTAAAGGTCAGCATCGGATAATTATCTGACGTCTGCCACTATGTGTGGTAAAGCAGGGGGATGGGGAAAGGTGGAGCTTAGCTCTTACGTGACCCTGAGTGGTCTGCAGCGCTATAGTGTCTGCATTGGGAGGAGGTTTGTGGCAGTATTGCAGTGCCGGTGTTCCAAGGGCCTGTCTAATATCATCAATGGAGCTTATTTTTTGTTGTGACAACAATAATAGGGATTATTTTATCCACTGGCACCAACGGATGGGTTTATTTCACACTTTCTGAAGGCAACAATGGGTTTATTTTGCCTACCAGTAGTAGCAGCATCAGGGACATGGCATACCGAGACGCAAAAAAAATATTATTTCTTTATTTAGCCAACAGAAACAAGCTCTTTTTCTGATGCGTTTTGTGCTGGGAACAGCGCTTTCTCAAACAATATTCAAAGGGCTTATTTTTTCCAGTAAGCAGCAATGTAAGTGGTACTCTGTTACTGACACCTGCATGCTATCCCCTACTCTCCGACTATCACATTTAAGTTCTTCTTTAAGGTAGGCTCTACCACTGCCTGCATAATAATTTGATCTCTTGTTCTTTGGAGGCAGGGGGTGAAGGCATTCTGCTTGGGAGGTGGGGCAGTGTCAGGCAGTGCTTAGGAGCCAGGAAAAGAGAGTACCAGTACCTCTACTGAGACAAACAATTCCTGCTTGGAAACAAGTTTATTTTTTTTAAAGATTAAAACAAATGAATACGATTATTTACATCAAGTTGATCTTGTTTACATGTTCATTTAAAATAATAAAATATTCAAAAGGTTATACATTTCCATTTAAGTCCCATAAATTTGTTGAGTTTCTCCCCTGCTTAACTATGCCATGCTGTACCTTTTACAGAACAAGAAAGTGGAATGCTATGACTATGAACAAGGGAGATATTTATCTCACTGTTCTCCTCTTCATAAAAATGTGTTTTTGTTGTTGAGTTTTCACAGTTGCAACAAAATATCCTTTCGCTCAGCAGTAAGTTGTTTCAATGAATTGTGCAGAGGATTTTAAAAGAATATTTGTACTCTGAATTATCATTATGTATGAACGGATAATCTGCCCTGATTTTAAATTGGAATGCAAAGCTTAGTGTAGACAATGATATTCTAGGGGAACTGCAGCATCCTCCACCTGGAATGGAAGACTGTCAGCATTCATTCATTTCATATCCCTCTAGTTGTGTCAGTGTCAGACACGGGCAAACAAAAAAAAGTTAAAAACCGCTCCTGTATAACCCTCCCCTACTCGGCATGTCTCAGTTTGGTAAGCAAGCAGTACATAGGGCCATTAACACCAAGGTGAGAGTAGACCCGTGTCCCTTAATGGACTCAAATAATTTTTTATGTTTATTACAAAAATCTCTTTCTTTATTGTCCATTAAGAGACACAATAATTTAAGAAGTATATTACAGTGACGTGTGGGCAACATAGACTGATACACCCAATACATTTTGGAGGGCTATTGCATTGCAGAGGTATTTGAAGGAAACAACTCCTGAATCAAGTTAGATAGGGAGGGGGGCGGAGCTTGCCAATGGCCGCGGCTGGACGTGTCTGTCCTTAGCTTCGCTGCTGTGAACCGGGCATCGTCTGAAAAAGTGCCACTACCGGCCGTCCTGCTACCCACAATGGGATCCAAACGGGGTAAGAAGTCCCAGGGCTCCAAACCGGACCTCTGCAGGCCGCATGGCAGAGACGCGTGGGGACTCCCCGGCCTCCCCAGACTCACATACCTCACAGCCGGCCGATCTCTCGCCCATCCTGGCCGATCGAGAGGCCACATCTGATGAAGAC